GTGCTGTATATTCTAATGTATTCTAATGTAATGTCTCCCCAACTGTACCCTCCACAAGCTGCAGATTATCTAGAACTCTGCAGCTCATGTCCTCTCCCACACCAGGCTCCATGATCCCATCACCTCCACCCTCGTCCAGCTCCACTGGCTCCCCAACCCACAGAGGACAGAATTCAAAATTCTCGTCCTCGCCTTCAAGGCTCTCCACGGCCTTGCTCCCTCCTACCTCAGTGACCTGCTAACCCTTTATCAACCTGTCCGCTCTCTGCGTACAACAGGCTCTGGCCTGCTCTACGTCCCCAGTTTGGCCCACCACACCATCGGGGGTTGGGCCTTCAGCCTCTCTGCCCCCCCCTTCCCCTTTGGAACTCCATCCCACATTCCCTTTGCCTCGTTATTCGACTGTGCCTTCGGCCACCCTCCCTGCCCTGCCCCCTCCCTTACCCTAATCCCCTCCCCCACACTCAGGTCCAAACGCATTGGGTTGTCCTCCTGACGTGAAAGGCACTATACAAATGGAAGGTGGCGGTTGTTGTTCAAGACATCGCAAAGCACTTAACAGAATATTTGTGAAGTGGATTGACTCTATATTTTGTGGGTGAAACAATCAATTGTGCACAGCGATGTTCCACAATCAGTCGTGGATTTATTGACCAGTTTTTTTTGAGGGATTATTATCCTTGGAAAGTGATACGCCAATCGACTATAACAACTGAGTTTCAACTGACTGCTAAGTAAACAGAGGTGAGTGGAATTAGGAAACTTGCCTAAAGTTTTGCCCCGCCCGGGAATCGCACCTCTCGTATGTGAGGCGAGCTCGCTACCTCAACTACGCGATGGGACTCCATTTGCAGGACTCTATTTCCTTATTAAGAATTCATGTTAAGAAATACTGTCATTTGGACCTCAATGTGTTTCTGTACCTTCTGGTCAGATCTGAAGCTGCACAGGAATAAGATCTGGATCTGGTTATATATAAATACAAACACCTGGACCAGGAAGAGAGCCCTGCTGGATGTACATAATGGGAACAATGGAAACCACAAGGAAGCAGACTGTCATTCTATTATTAGCCAGGGAAGCCAGCCCTGCCAAAAAATATTTTTATATTTAAATATGATCTGATGCATCCATTTTCTTAGTATCTGGAAGCATTTTAGTCCTCTTTACACATTGTACCTTCAGCACTGAAAAACTCTGGTTTCAATTTGCCTCGAATGCCTCTTGAGTGAAGACAAAGGTAATGGTTAGCCTCTCATGACTAGTACATGAGCACTAAAGCAGCAGCTCTATTGCAGATGTAGACCCAGCTCTTCTGGAGATGCTATTCTCTACACTTCCCTCTCACAAACAGTGTATTCTCAGGAGCAATGCGTTTTCTATTTGTTGATATCTCCCTGACATTGCTCAAATTATTATTTACAATAATCTCACAAAACCATGAAGATTAGTGTGAGGTGAAGATTCTGCTCAGCTTGGTTCAGTTGGCAGCATTCTTGCCTCTTAGTCAGAAGGTTGTGGGTTCAAGCCCCACATCGGGACTTGGAACCCATGTTGTTCATTCTGGCACTCCAATGCAGTGCTGGAGGTGTCCCATATTGTCAGGGATACCATCTTTCAGATGAGATGTTAATCAGAGGTCCCATCTGCCTGTTCAGGTGGATGTTTCCAATGGTACAATTCAAACAGAGAATGCATTTTCTCCCAGTGTCCTGGGCAATGATCCCCCAAACAAAATTGAGCATTAACTCTATAACCGTTTGTGGTAAATTGCTGTATGCAAATTGGAAGCTAGGTACCAACTAGTCCAGGGTGAGAGCTAACTTTCTTCAGTTGAACGTCAACAAGACCGAGGCCCTCCTGATTGGCTCCCGTCAGCGCCTCCTCACCTCAGGCGCTGATAGCATCACCATCCATGGTTGCACACTCCACCTTGCTAAACCAATCTGGAACCTTGGGGTCTTGTTTGACCCTCAACTATCCTTTCTACCCCACATCTGTGCCATGACCCACTCTGCCTTCCCCCACCTCCGCAACGTCGCCCGGCTCCACCACCGTCTCACAACGCAGGCTGCCAAAACCCCCATACATGCTTTCATTACATCGAGGCTCAACTATGCAAACTCATTGCTTGTCGGCCTCCCCAACTCCTCCCTCCACAGGCTGCAGATCATTCAGAACTCTGCAGCCCGTGTCCTCTCCTGCGACCCTATCACCCCCATCCTTGCCCAACTCCACTGGCTTCCCATCACACAGAGGATATAGTTCAAGATCCTGGTCCTCATGTTCAAAGCCCTCCATTGTCTTGCTCCCCCCTACCTCTCCGACGTCCTAACCCCTACCCTCCTGTTCGCTCCCTCCGCTCAGCGGGCTCATGTCCCCCGCCTCGCCCCACTATTGGTGGGTGGGCCTTCCCCCATTCTGCCCCCACCTTCTGGAACTCCATCCCACAGTCCCTCCAATTCGCTCCCTCCCTTGCTACCTTCAAGACTCATCTCAAAACCCTCCTCTTCGACTGTGCTTTTAATCTCCCTGCTTCCTCCCCCTACCCTCCACTCTTCCTCACCCCGACCCACAGCTCAGGTCCGTAATTCTGTCTGTCCAGCACCTTGGGACATCCTCCTGACTTGAAAGGCACTTTACAAATGTAATTTGTTGTTGTTGTTAGGTACCACAGTCATTCTACTTTACGGTATGTCCTGTGAAGTGCTTTGAGATGTTTTAACATAATATGTTGCCTTATCAAATGCAAGGATTATATTAACATAATTTCTTATTTCCTTCTCATTTTCTCTCCTTGTCCTCTGAAGGCATGTGATACCTCTTTCCTTCAACAAGTACCCTCCAGGACCTCATCTAAGTGGTCATTGTTCACATGTAAATGAAAGGGAGTCCTGCATGATTTTCTCCTCATTAATCTAGGAGCATTGAGACTATTGTAACTCCCTGTCTGAGATCAGACAACGGCACACAATAGAACTCTGAAACTTTCTAAGCCTATATGGTCTAAACTCTGCACAAGACTTTGTTTTTACGCACCAGAATATCGAGGGAGCTTGGCCATATGGTTTCAGCATGAATTCTAAGTATAGGAGAGTAACTGACATCTGTACACTCATAACTGCTCAGGTACAAGAGGTCAGAGAAGGGCCAGCAGTAGAGGTGCAAAATTGGTCCAAATCGCTGACTGGCCAGTGCCTTGTGACGTCCCCTCGACGTGAAAAACGCTATGCAAACATAATTTGTTGTTGTAGAGGAGATCTGGGGTAAAGAAGAGGGCTGGCAGTTTACATTAGGAGACAAAGAAGGGCTTACAATAAGGTGGAAAAATAGGAGGGCCAACACTGTACAGTACTATAGTGACTATGTGTAACTTCTAGTGTAAGAAATGTTTGGTTGAATTACAGATGATTACAGTGCGGAACTGGGACTTGTTTTGTTGCTGGATTTTCTTCCCGGTTGTTTGGCAGCACTAATATAAATGAACATTAGGTGGTGCTGTTCTTTCAGGACCAGCTTGTCTGTTGACCCAAAATGTAAATTGGTTAAACTCCAGCAGTACAACAATAGCTCTGGGGCCAAGCCCTGACTCTTGCCAACCTATGCCTAATACTTTCCAGGATTACGTAAATGGGTTGCGTCCTTCCAGAGAGAGTGTGGGCACCATTCTCAACGAGGGGATATTTCCATCCCTATATTTAAAAAATCTTGCATTTGATATAGAGCCTGAAGGAGGCACTTCAAAGGTTTTACTGTAAAATGTTGTGACTATACATTTTGTAGGCGAATGGGAAGTGGGGTGAATCCATTCAAATGAATTTTTGGTAGAAAGAGGAGTCTTTGAGACGCGAGTCCCAGGTGAAGGCCGGTGTTCTAATCCCCTAAATTATTTTATAATGCGATGATTATTATTTTTATTTGGGTAAAATGACCTTAGTCAGCTCTAATAGACTAACTAACATCTTGTAACCTTCACCGGCTGGTAGACATTTGCGATTTTCAGTGAGATTCTGGAATGTCCTTTTTTTTCCAAAAATCAATCAATCCATTTACATTTTGCCAAAGCTTTTCCATGAAGGATGGTGAATGTAGAATTTCTGTGGCCTGATCCAGGCATTGATGTGGCTGCTGTGTCTAAAAGCGGAAATGGAAATAAGTGAGGCTTGCAGGGTCTGCACTGAAGCACCACTGTACATCCCTGATATATTTCATTTAAAACTAACCTCTTGTTGTAGGAAAAAAATCACACAAACCTCCACAAAAAGGCGGAACGCTCATTCCAAAAGCAGAGTGTTTGGAACAGTCTGTTCTAGAAAGAGCCTTCCTGAAACTCTTCAAGCCATAATAATGCCTCTTAGACTTTCTGACTATAGACTGAACTGGTGGTGTCCAGCTGACTGCTGGAATGTTGGAATGGATGTGAATGGACACGGTCAGTGTGATATATCTGGTTACTGCTAGGATTCAGTATGGTTGAATCCATGGCAATCTAGGTTGCAAAAACTGTTATGTAAACCCCAGTCTGTGAAGTTCCTTTGATGGTTTTGACATGGTCAAATGCATTGATTATTACGACGCTAAAATATTTACAAATCTTCAATTAGGACAGTAGCAGAAGTAGAGCAAAATACAAGTGGGGTAAAGTTCCAGATGGGTAAATCTAGATTTACTCTGTTAATGTAGCTTTTATGAGAATTTGGCAAATTGTTGAATTCAGTCTCAACGTTTTGAAGCTGGTTTACTTAAAAGAAACGTGCAGAAAAAACAACTTTAAAATTATTTGACAGTTTGCCAAATTCTGGTTGCTCTGAGATGTGTTTAAAAGTGTAAAGAGCAGACCCAGATGGAATTTCTCCCCATGTGTTGACCTGTCAGCAGCATTTTACAGAGAGGTGGGTGGGAAGTACTCACTGGTAGCAAACATGTGAATGTGGTCACCCAGCAATGGTATTCAGGAGCACCCTGCCTTTATAGCTCATGTCTTCATTGTTTCCCTCCAGATCCACACAGGCCTTCAGCATGAAATAATCTGGCCCTGCCAGCGGCACTGCATTCCATTGGATGAGAAGCTGCTGCCTCAGTTGCTGAAGGAGGCTGGCTACAGTACTCACATGGTGGGGAAATGGCACTTGGGCATGTACAGAAAGGAGTGTCTTCCGACACGCAGGGGATTCGATTCCTATTTTGGTAATTCTAATGGTTCTATTCAACTTGGGTGTCTGCTTGGCTCAGTTGGCAGCACTCTTACCTCTGAAACAGAAGGTTGAGGGTTCAAGCCCCACATTGGGAGTTGAATTCACATAGTCTAAGATGACTCTCCAATGCAATGTATGTGTTGCATTGCTCGATGTGCTGTCTTTTGATGACACGTTAAACCTTGCCCCCTCCTTCCCCATCTTCACGTCGCCACTGAAGACTTTGCTCTTCGACCGTTCCAGCTCCCCCTTCCCACGGCTCAGTGGTGTGTTCTACCGCTGTCATGCGCTCTGGGAAGTGAGGAGTGCTATATAAATGCAAGTTGTTGTTCTTGTTAAACCAAAATAAAATTGTGTTGTAATATTTTTGGGTCTTTAGCCAGGCAGTTCCTGGGTGATATACCTTGGTTTACAACAACAACAAATATAAAAAATGACATTTGTATAGCACCATTCACATCGGGAGAATATCCCAAGGTGCTGGGACACTAGAGTAGTTAATTATTGGCTTCCATTCCATTACAAAATGGCATGGAAGCGAAAACTTCACTACTGCAGTATCGCGGCCTGTAGCTCTCCCACATGTTGGCAATGGGGTGTAAATGCTCTACACTGCAGTGAGTGCAGATTTAATACTCGTTCTCTTGCTGTATTTCAGGTTACCTGTTGGGCAGTGAGGATTACTACTCACACAATCGCTGTTATTTTATCTCTGGGCTGAACGCTACCCGCTGTGCACTGGACCTCCACGATGGGGAGGAAGCCTCTACCGGATATACAGACATGTATTCAACCAATATATTTGTACAGAGAGCCACCGATGTCCTAGCCAAGCATGACCCTCGCAAGGTAGGTGTCACATCATGGGAGATGGCGATGCCCACAGTTTGTTAATCCCCAATTTACTATTAAAAAAAGTAGCCTCGAGTGTGGGGCTCCACGTTTACCAGAGTTCAGTGAGATGCTCTTGGGCGCATTACCTGGATAATTCTGCGCCTGTCATCCCTGTCCTCCGAAGCTCCACTGTTTCTCTGTTCCCCAGTGGATTGACTTTATCAACTCCGTATTAACCCTCAAATACATCCACAGCCTTGCCCCACCTACCTACGAGATGATCCACTGCCCTATTCTCCTGCCCATTCCCTCTGCTCTGCCAACTCTGGCCTGCTTCATAGTCCTCTTGCTGGTGGTAATGGATGTTTCAATGGTGATAGATGACATTTGGGGATGGAGAGGAAAGGGAATCAGCCCCAAACCTGTTATGGGCAAGACCAAAGTGATCAAATTTTTTTGTGATGATTATCACATCACCACAAAAAAAAATGTGGTCACTCAATCCATGACTGTTTGTGGGACAATACATTCCGCAAATGGCTGCCACATTTGGTCCACAAAATTCACAGTCAATCTACTTTACAATATATTCTGTGAACGCTTTGAGACGTCCCAACGACGTGATAAGGCGCTACATCAAATGCAAGGATTATTTTTATTGTATACCAAATTCTTTACTACTTCTATTGAAGGTGAGGAACCACGTGTGGACAAAGGACAGGAAGAAGTTGTAAAGGAAAGAAATGTGGAAGGAGGAAAGGAGGATTTCTATCTCGGTCTGTGATGTTGATCAGACCTGTGAATTTTAGCACATCTCGGGCTAACATTGTGGTGCTCTGCCTCTGTGTTGCAGCCTCTCTTTCTGTATCTGGCCTTGCAGTCTGTGCACGCTCCTCTTCAGGTGCCAGAGAATTACACAAAACCATACAGCTTCATCCATGACAAGAACCGGCGGCACTACGCAGGGATGGTGTCGGTGATGGACGAGGCGGTGGGGAACCTTACTGAGGCCCTGCGGTACTACGGATACTGGAACAACACCGTCTTAGTCTTCTCCACAGGTAGGTCAAGCAACACTGCATCCTGTCAGACAATACAGTAACAATCTTTGCCTTTACTATAGTGCTTTATATCATCAAGTCATCTCAAAGCACCTCACCGGATTTACTGCATAGTGAGTTTTTTGTGGGCGAACGTGGCAGCCAATTTGTGCATAGCAACCAGTGCTATACTTCCCACAAAAACATAACAACAATTTTATATTCTATAGCGCTTTTCCCATTTCAGGAGGTTGTCTCACAGAGTTGACTGGGAGCCTGAGTTAGGGTGAACGGGAGCAGAGGTGTGGGGGGGAGTGGGTGAAAGAAATGACCAAAGAATGTTTGAAAAATTGGCTTTCAAGGTGGATAGAGAAAGGGAGGTTGATGAAGAAGGACTCCAGGATTGAGTTCTAGGGAGCAGGGCAAAATGGCTGAAAGCTCGTCCATTGATTGTGGGGTGGGGGCGGTGGAGGGGTGGTATCATGGAGCAAGTGGTGATGACTGAATGGAACTGGGTGAAGATGGGGGTGAAAGGCTCACGGAGCCTGGTGCGGTAAAGGATGTGAGCTGCAGAGTCCTGGTCGGTCTGTAGCTTGTGGAGGGAGGATTCCAGAGTTGAAATGAAACCCATTGCCTCTTCAAAAAGCACTTTGAGAGTCGTGATCGGAACGGCTCTATGTAAATATAAAATTGTTGTTATATTTCTTTTTAAAGCACTTTCATCTCCCTTTACCCACCCTCCATGTGTGTGTGCGAGTGTGTATTGTGCTTTTGTGTGTGTTTAATGTTGTTGTGAGTGTGGGAAGCTCTGGCCTGTGGCAATACTGCAGCACGTTCTACAGGCTCAGTTCTCCTCTGCTGACTGCAATAACTATTCCAACTGTTTATCACTAACCGTTTCCATGGATACAGTCCTTAATTGCCCACTTGAACATTTACTGTGAGCACACTTGATACTCCAGGTAGATATTCACATCATTCGCTCCAGGTCTCCTGGAGAAGAGTAAATGTTAATTGATGTCTTGTTTGTTGAGGAGGTGGTTCTCGGCTGGTGTAAAACAGCTGCAGATTTATCTGTAGGAAAGGTCCCTACACTTGACGGTAAAGAAGGTGTTTGAAATCTCATCAGTACATTGTGATGCCAAGAGCATATCGCAAACTGTTGGGCTAAGTCTCCTCTCTGGAACACTCTTCTAAATTTCCTTCATCTCACACCTTCCCTCTCTATTTTCAAAACCCATCTTAAAAGCCATCTGACTGTGCCTTTGCCTTCTGTTATCTTTCTCTTTCTCATCTCCCACCCCATCTTAAGACCATAAGATGTAGGAGCAGGAGTAGGCCATTCGGCCCCTCGAGCCTGCCATGCCATTTAATAAGATCATGGCTGATCTTCTAACCTAATCCATTTACCCGCACTATCCCCATATCCGTTAATCCCTCTATCTTTTAGAAATCTATCAACCTCAATATTGAATATTGAGGTTGATAGGACTGAGCATCCACAGCCTTCTGGGGTAGAGAATTCCACAAATTCACTACCCTCCAAGTGAAGAAACGTTTCCTCAACTCAATTCGAAAAGGCTGACCCTTAATCTTGAGACTACGACCCCTAGTTTTAGATTCTCCAACCAGAGGAAACAGTCTCGCGGTGTCAAGACCCTTAAGAATCTTTTAAGTTTCTATAAGATTCCCTCTAATTCTTCTATATTCTAGAGAATATAGGCCTAGTTTACTCAACCTATCCTCACAGCTCAAGCCCCTCATCCCAGGAACCAACCTAGAAAATCTACGCTGCATGTATGTCCTTTCATAAATAAGGAGACCAAAACTGCACACAATATTCTAGTTGCGGACTCACCAAGGCCTTATACAACTGCAGCAAGACTTCCCTACTCTTGTACTCTAACCGTTTTGCAATGAACGCCAACATGGCATTAGCCTTCCTAGTTGCTTGCTGTACCTGCATACTAACTTTTTGTACAGGGACACCCAAATCCCTCTGAACACTAACACTACCTAGTCTCTCCCCCTCTAGAAAAGAATCCACTTTTCTATTTTTACTACCTAGGTGAATAACTTCACACTTCCCCACGTCATCTGCCACCTTCGTGCCCACTCACCTAGCCTGTCTATTTCCCTTTGCATTCTTCGTGTGTCATCCTCACAGCTTACTCTCCCACCTATCTTCGTATCGTCTGCGAATTTAGATATATTACGTTCTATTTCCTCATCTAACTCATTGATATGGACTGTAAATAATTGAGGCCCAATCACTGATTCTTGTGGCACTCCACTAGTCACATCCTGCCAATCTGAGAAGGACCTGTTTATCCCTACTCTCTGTTTTCTTCCTGTTAGCCACTCACCAATCCATGCTAATATATTACCTTTAATCTTCCATTCTACCTCTGTGAAGCCCTTTGAGACACTATGTGAAAGGCACTGTATAAGTGCATGTCGTTGTCCATTTTGTCTCAGGTTACTTCTTCCATTCTCTAATTCCATCTCGTTTTGTGTGCCGAGTACCACAGTACTTCCCAATACCTGGATTTGTTTCTCTCAGTCCGGTTGTGTTGTGTTTGCCCAGACAGCCTCTGTTTCAGCTCACTGCACAAGAAGATGACCACAAGCTCCACAAACACANTTTTTTAACCGTAACTTTTTCTGTCAACCTTCCTGTTTTAGGAATTCTGAACTTTTAATCCCATGTTTTTACAGTTTATGTTCCCATGTTGGCTGCAGTCCTAGACAGAGTGGGGTTTTCATTGGATGAATGCATTGTTATTGGAGAGACTTTGAGCTGCCTGCCAGTCTGTCTGTACATTCTTCCTGTACTCTCTGCTGTTTTGCTGGAGAGGCCATTGTTCGCATCATGTCCTTTCTTAAAAACTTTCCCATCTGTATCCTGACCCGCAACGTGTTCAAATTAGCATATATTTTTAAATAATTTTTTTTGTTATGTGAAGTCTGCAGCGTTTGCTGGTGTCGAAGTGCTTTTCTCCCCCTCTTCTCCCCCCCGCCCGCTACTAGGGTTAAGGTAGACTACACTGGGCACACATTTCACAGCAAGCTTTGTGAGATTTCAGACCACTAACCAAGGTGGGAGGGATACAAAGCCTATGAATAAAAAGCAGGGAGTGTAAAAACTGCATCTTTGGACTCGCTGAGTTTCTACTGCATTACCTCAGCTTCACAGTGTAACAGTGACGTTTATACCAGTTGTTAATGCTCATGTGTGAATTGTAGTTTTGCACTTTGCTAGTTCTATTATTGTACTGAGTGGCTTAAAAGCCTTCACTGCAGTTAGCTGACTTGGTGCACAGAACAGCACCACGATTTGACTCCACATCCTGGAGTTCACATTGTAACACAGTGGCCTCGGGAGAGGTGGGAGTGGGGGTCTACAATATGTGTTTAGAATTATGTTTATAATTACAGATTGAAATGCTGCTTCCACAAAGGCTGTTTTGTTTGTGGTTTAAACTCTTTCCAATACACCGGTGGTGAGATGGTGGTGAAGCGTACCTCACGCTGCAGTGAGGGGATGGGAATATGCTCTTCTGTTTCACAAGCAAAGATCCTGTAGCGTGAGACACTGAGGCAGCAGCACTCTCCAAAACACTGTCAATTAAACCACTTCTTCCTTTCCAGTTACTGTCAAAATACATCAGAAATGTCCTCCTTATAAAAATAATAAATAATAATCCTTGTATTTCGTATAGTGCTTTTCACGTCTTCTAGACATCTCAAAGCGTTTCACAGAATATACTTTAAAGTGAATTGACTGAATATTTGTGGGCAAAACGCCTTATAATGAGATAATACTTTATCATAGACATTTTTAACGTAATGTGTAATGTTTTATATAATTGTGGATTTCCATAGCTTAGTGTTTAGCACACTCACCTCAGAAGTGAGAGGACTTGGATTTTATCCCTGGGCAGAGTGAAATCTCAGGCAAGTTTCCTTACTCCACACGCCTCTGTTTACCCAGCAGTAAGTAGAAACCCAGTTGTTAGTCGATTGCCAGATTGCTTTCCGGGGGTAATAATCACCCCCCCCCCACCACCACGCACTTACCCACAAAAAATTGGTCAATCACTCCATGGCTGTTTGTGGGACATTGCTCTGCACAATTGGCTGCCACATTTCTCCTACAAACAATTAATATTATTCTGTGAAGCACTTTGAGAAGCCTCAATGATGTGACATGGCGCTTTATCAAACGCAAAGATTATTATTAACGTGATTGCAGTGTGTGTGTGGGGGGGGGGGGGGGGCGGTGGGGGATGGGGGGGAAGAAAAGGATTCACATTCCCAGTCTGTTCCTGTCTTCACTTGACCACACGCTTTCACCTTCCAGCAGGGTCTCTGAATAGCAATCAGGATTGAGAGTCGTTGGTTTCCCTTTCCCTCTCCCAGAGGCACTGACTATAACTACTGTTCCAACTGCTGCCCTGACTACCAACTAACTCAGCGCAGACTGGGGTTTGAACTCAAATTCCCTTTGTTGCTGTGGTATTTTGTGTCTTTGTCACAATATCTGGTCCCTGTCCTAAATTCACTGCACGGAGTTGTGTCCAGCACCTTTCAGAGTCGAACCATAAAAACGTACAGCAGAGAAGAAGGCCATTAGGCTCATTGTGACTCATATTTCCACTCCATTCCTTTCCTCATAACCNTTTTTATCCTTTTTCAAATATTTGTATTGATTCGTGGTATCATCTTAGTGAGTCTCCTCTGAGTTCTCTATAGCTTAGCTTTCTCAAAGCAGGGCATCCATTGCAAATGGAGCCAAACAAATTTTCCGTACAGCTGATCTGATGTTTTTTTCTCTCAGATAATGGAGGACAGACCTTGTTCGGTGGTAACAACTGGCCTTTACGAGGGAGGAAGTGGACGCTGTGGGAGGGGGGAGTGCGAGGGGTTGGTTTCGTCGCCAGCCCATTACTGAAACGGAAGGGCAGCGTCAACCGAGAGCTCATTCACATCTCGGACTGGCTCCCTACCCTCGTGAATCTTGCTGGAGGATCAACGAAGGGCACCAAACCACTGGATGGCTTTGATGTGTGGAAGACGATCAGGTGACCATGTAGCAAGCTTTTAGAGTTTATTATAATAAAAATAATAATCCTTGCATTTAGCATAACTCTTTATCACATTGCTGAGACGTCTCAAAACACTTCACAGAATACACTGTAAAGTGGATTGACTGTATTTTGTGGGCAAAATGTGGCAGTCAGTTGCGCAGAGCAATGTCCCACAAACAACCATGGAATGAGTGGCCAAACATTGTTTTTTAAAAAAAATTGAAGGGATTATTACCCCTGGAAAGCGATCTGCCAAACGACTAACCGGGTTCCTACTTTTCCTTTTTTTTAAATTCGGTGAAAACCTTTTACTGCTGATTTTTGAGGAGTGAGGATTGCAGAAGAGCATCCCCGATTACACCCAGCGTGAACAAAGTGTTCCCCACAGCAGTTACCATGATAGTAAGATGGCAGCCTCATGGTGAATTGTGGACAGCTCTGTTCTGTCGCCCCTCTAGGCTGGCGCTGACTAAACTCATTTTGTGCAGATCTCACAGTCTGGAGAGAATGGCACAGTCATCCTCTCAGTTCAGACTAGAATTAAACACAAGTCTCACTCAGATTGTCCCTTCCTTTTATCAGAGCTGCATAGAATCCTGGGCATTTTTGGCTTGATGAGCTTGTTTAGTTTTTTTTTGAACGTGACCTTTGGTTACGTGCCGGGTTGCAAAAGTAAACTTCCCCTGTGTTTGTGTTTCAGTGAAGGGCAGCCTTCCCCCAGAGTGGAGCTGCTTCACAACATCGACCATCTCTTCACTGATACCTCCCCGTGTAAGTGCAACTTAAAACAGTTGGTTACTTGCTGATTCCATGGTGGTTGATGAGTGGATCTGTAAAGTCAGTTTCAGGCATTCACAATACTCTGCTGGTTTCAGCCACATCCATCGTCTTAGAAGCTGTGATGGAGTAATGGTGGGGGTGGGGGGGTTGAGAAATGCTATAGCTTAGCACGGCATTGAATAACCTAACACTAGCTGCTAGCTGTCAGACCTTCACTGGATTCTCTGTCTCTCAAAACAACCCTCTGCCCTCCCCTCTCCCCCACACACACCCGAGCTTACTCTCTCCCCACACTCACTTTCCTGCATCCCCATTACACATACATATATTCTCATCTCCATTCGATTTCATAATTACATATGTTCCTCTTTTCTTTCCCCCCACGTGCATACGTGCGCATTCTGTGATCCCAATCCCACTGCACATATGAATGTACAGGAACAGAAAAGGCCTGTCCTAAAGTAAGATATACACATCTTTCTGCCACATGTAAAAAAGGTTTGTCTCCATACTCTAGTTAGGATTTTTTACATATTCACATACAGATATAATTTTTCTATTTAATTGAAAACTGCTGATGTACAAAGCAGTCTTGCTGGAATGAGTGCAATAGGCCTGACTAATAATACAGTAAGGCAGACTTTGCAGAGTCCCAGTCAGACACTGTAGTTTTCATACCACTTATCCCATGGTATTGTATCCATTCTTACCTTGTTTGTAATAAGTGAATTTAAATTAATCCTGATTACAGGCATGTCTGAACAGCGAGTAACCGTGCAAAACGTGCAAGCTAATGGGATTACCTCAGTATTCTTTAAACACTGACGTATTCGGTGGCTGGCTTTAATTATGCTACTCTGTGACTAATCTGAATGCATTGCTCAGTCAGGAACCAGCTGAACATTGCTGTAACTTTCTCATACTCTGAAATGGACAGTGAACTGCACACAGCCTGTGTTTACACAGACACGGCACAGGGTTTATGCCACCGCTGCCTGTTTGTCTAAACAAACACTGTCTATGAATCAGACGCATCCTCTGTGGGCACAACGATTAAAGAACCAATCATCTCATTGTGTGAATGGGGTGTTCAATGGTGTCGTGAGGCTATTGAAAGCCCCATTTAAAAATTTCTATTCCCTCCAGGGAATCATTATGGAGGGTTTGTAAGTTCCTCAGCTTTGATCTATGTAATGCCTTGTGATTCCAGTTTCTGGACTTGCTGGCGACTGGTCCTCTCTTGAATTTGGCATCTTCTCATATTGATGAATTTAAAGACTTGTTGCTATAATTATAATAATATTAAAAATAATAATAATACTTGCATTTGATATGACATCTTCGAGATGTCTCAAGGCGTTTCACAGAATATACTGCAAAGAGAATTGACAGTATATTTTGCGGCGAAATACAGCAGCCAATTGCGCACAGCAGTGTCCCAAAGACAGTCGTGGATTGAGTGACCAAATCGCAATCTAAGATGAAGCCAGTAAGTGACGTTATGCTAAAAACGATATTAAAGAGGATGGACCTGATTTTTTTTCTCTCACAGAAAAGCTGGAGTGCTGTACAGGTCCTAAAATGCGGGATTACTAATACGTTTCCTAAATAAGGAATCTGTGTTGAGCAATTGAGAAGACCTTACATTAACTAAAAGGACATAATGCCAACCCTCGGCATCTCTGAAGTGGACTTCCTGTTCTCAGTGAGAGCAGGAATTTCCTTAAGAACTTGTAGAAATTTCTACCTTTCAGTGAAGTGTAATGGCCTCAATGAAGTTACTGCAGAGAGAATTTTCCAGCCTTTTCAAGAGATTTACTCAAAAAGCACCACTGAAGGCTCACTTGGCCCTATCCATTGTGAAACAGAGCCACTGAGATCAGAAGGTGTCTGTTTGATCCTTGATTCTCAGGCTGTGGAGCTGTAGGAGTGAGACAGCAGACCTTGGCACCATAGACGAGGAAGGGAAATTCAGGCAAGTACATGTGTTTGGATATTTGGCAAGGGCAACATTGAGCCCATCTGAATATGATGCTATTTCTATATTCAAATTACTTGCTAATGCTTGTTGATAATTAAATAATAACAACAAAATTAAATTTGTATAGCCCCTTTCACGTAGGAGGACATCCCAAGGTGCTGGACAGTCAGTGTTTCAGACCCGAGCTGGGGATTGGGGAGGGTGGAGGGCAGAGGGGGAAGGAGGGTGATCGAAAGCACAGTCAAAGAGGAGGGCCTTGAGATGGGTTTTGAAGGAGGCAAGGAAGGGGGTGAGGCGGAGGGACTGCAGGATGTAGTTCCAGAAGGTGGGTGCAGAGTGGCTGAAGGCCAGCCTGCCATTGGTTGGGCAGGCGAGGCAGGGGACGTGAAGCAGGCTGAGCGGAGGGAGCTGGCAGGTTGGTAAGGGATTAGGGGGAAGTGAGGCCATGGAGGGCTTTGAAGGTGAGGACCAGGATCTTGAACTGAATCCTCTGTGTGATGGAAGCCAGTGGAGTCAGGCAAGAATGGGAATAATAGGGTCACAGAGCCTGGTACGTGAGAGGACATGGGCTGCAGAGTTCTGGATGATCTGCACCCTATGGAGTGAGGAGTTGGGGAGGCTGACAAGCAGGGAGTTCCATTCCATTCAAGCCTGGATGTTATGAATTTGTGTATGAGGGTTTCGGTGCCCTGCGGTGAGAGACAATGGCGGAGCCGGGCGATGATGTAGAGGTGGGGGAAGGCAGAGCGGGTCATGGCATGGATGTGGGGTAGAAAGGATCGCTGAGCATCAAACAAGATGCCAAGGTTCTGGATTGGCTTAGGAAGGTGGAGTGTGCATCCATGGATGGTGGTGCTATCAATGGATGAGTTGTGGAGGCGCTGACGGGAGCCAATCAGGGGAGCCTTGGTCTTTCTTCAACTTCAACTGAAGAAAGTTTGCTCTCATCCAGGACTTGATGTCTGAAGACATTCTGTCAGGACAGCAGTAGTCCTGGAGTCAAGGGTGGAGGCAGAGAGATAGAGTTGGGTGTCATCGAAGTTGACCCCATGTCTGCAGATGATGTCACCAAGAGGGAGCATGTAGATAGTGAAGAGGAGGGGACCAAGAACAGAGCCCTGAGGAATGCTGCATGAAACGATGCAGGGGCTAGAGGGGAAACCGTTTGTGGAGATGAAATAGAGATGGTCTGAACCAGTCAAGGACAGAACCATGAAGGTTGAAGTGAGAGGACAGATGGTGGATGAGGATAAAGTGGTCGACGGTATCAAAGGCAGCAGAGAGGTCAAGGACGAAGAAGCAGAGGGTACCCTGGTCGCAGATGGACAGAATATCATTCGTCACTTTGACCAGAGCTGTTTCTGTGCTGTGGCACGTAGGTCAGATTCCATTGAATCGTACCTCGCCAATAGTCAGTCTTTCAGGAGAGGAGNAAAAAAGATTCACAGCTAATTATTTTCCACAAAAGGTTTTGAGGATATGAAATTGCATGGACATAATAGCAGAGCAGGAAAAATGGTCTACTCCTGTTCCAATGTTTATACTGATATTTATACAAACAAACATCTTGAGAATTAGTTTGGTGAAATAAGCCAGACTTTCCAACCGTGTGTGTCTGTTTGCCCTTTGGCTTTTCTCCTCATCAAGCTCAGTCCATTTCCAGAAGTCAAACTGTTTGTTTCTCAGGGATTCATCCCCCTGTCTGTGAGAGTTTGTCTTCAGAGTAGGAAAACACCAGCACCTGCTCACTGTCTAGACTACACTTTACAGCTGCTGTTCCCCACGGCTGCTCTGGTGTTGTTGCACAGCTTCAGTTCCCAAAACAGAGATTTCCACAGCTCTGACACAAAACAGGGTAATTTTCAGCAGCTTTTAGGCAGAGGGAGTCCTCAGAGCTGACCACAGTGGGAAAGTGTTCCATTTCTCAACACCATCACCCGTGACCTTTGTAGATTTTACTGGAGTATTCTTTTGGTTTAAAACAAAATTGAGTTACTTGAAACAATTTTCTATTCTCTCTGCACTAGTTCCTTTGCACTGCTGACATTTTGTCTCCGCACCTCTTGCCCTGTTCCACCCCTCCCTCTTAGGGACAGAATATCCCAGTAAACCTAGTAAGGAATGCAGCCCATTCCCATCAACTGAAAAGCGTTAAATACATCCAAACACAAACTAGCACTGCTTGTGTGCACCTTGGCTGCCAGGTTCACCTACAAAATATACAGTCACTACATTTCACAGTAAAATCCTGTGAAGCACTTTGAGACTTCCTCTTGACATAAAAGGCGCCATATCAAATATAAGGATTATTTTATTAATGTGCTTCCAGAGAGCAGGTAGGAGGGTATTGAAGTGAGAAAGAATCTATCTTGCGCCTCTCCCACCATTTCGTTTTAGGATGAAGTGAGCAGTGTCCTCGCCTTACAATGTCTAAGGAGGAAGAAAAAGTGTAATATCTAACTAAGAATAATAACCTAACTTGTGCAAGTAGAGAATCCATCCAAATATTTACATGGAATGACAATGCCTTATTTTATTTTTAAACATAATTTCCTATAGCTTATGTATTTTGTGCTAGTTTTTATGATCAAGAGTAATACAAAATGTTGCTTTATAAAAGTAAAATTGTTTTGGGGGGAACTGGATAACAATAATAATAATCCTATAATAAGCCTATACCTTAGGGACCTAGGTTTCAGTCCAGACCAGACAGGGGTGGGGGCCAAGGGGGTTGAGGGGGTGAAGATGATTGAAAGCACAGTCTTACCTTGTAATATCATTGATTTTAAAAATGTAACATTTGGACATTCTTAAATTCAGAATTAATTTAACAGTCAGTTAAGAACTGCATCAAACAAGTTTCTAAATTTTAAGAATTTTTCAAAATTCTGCGTGTTTGTTAATGTTAAGAATAAATGATTTTTCAGGGCTAATGGAATTTTGGGTCTCTGATTGCTGTATTATAATAATAACAATATATGACTTCTGCTTGAAAGTGTGCGTCTGTGTC